ATTATTTAATAATACATAGAGTACTCACTTGGAGGAGAAAAATTTGTGTGGGGCTTGGTTTGCCACTAGACTTCGCTGAGTGACACTACAATCCACTCAAAACTCGCCACGTGGCAAGTCTTGAATATAATCTTTTATCATTCTTTTAGGGAATTGTTATTGGCACTCAAAAAAATCTCATTTTGCACTTCAAACTTTCTATAATTAGAAAGAAAAATACACTTGTGAGGAGTGTAGAATGAAATTTTTGGAGTGCTAATAATAATTCCCTTCTTTTATATTTAAAATTTTTATAATTAATTTTTAACTAATTAATATATAATATATATTAACGTTATGTTTCCTTTTTTTTTATTTCTTTCCCCTATTTTTTTCTTTCCAACCGCCCCCCCTCCCCCAAACAAAAAAAAAACTTTGTTTTGCCGTAGGTCTTGGGTTTCAGTACTCCCTCCCCTTTCTTTCTTTCCTAGTTTCATTTCTTTCTTTAAAAAAAAAAAAAGAATTATGCACCCACTCAATTTTATCATGGAAAGCAACCAAGAATCTGTAAGTTTATTCTCTTTCTTTATACAATAGTTGCTTTGATCATGTGACAAATACAGCAGATACAGCGCAAATCAAATTGTACTTGTTAGTTCGAAATGTAGTATCAAAGCATAAAGCATCTCCAAAGCAATCATAGTCTAACCTTGACATGTCATCTCTCCAAAAAAGAGTTGTCATCCGATTCAGGTGGTCCACTTGTATCGAATAGAAAAATTTGGAATCCTTTGCTTGCCTTTCCTTGAAATGATTAAACAAACTTTGTGCATCTTCTCCTTCCATCGTGGGTTATTCATGTCACATGATCAAAGCAACTATTGTATAAAGAAAGAAAAGAAACTTACATATTCTTGGTTGCTTTCCATGATAAAATTGGAGTGGGTGCAGAACTATATATTTTTTTTTTTAAAGAAAGAAACAAAAATAGGGGAAATAAATAAAAAAGGAAACATAACATTAATATATATAATATATTAATTAGTTAAAAAATAATTATAAACAATTTAAATGTAAAAAAATGATAAAAGATTATATTTAAGACTTACCATGTGGTGAATTTTGAGTAGATTGTAGTGCCACTCAACGAAATCCAATGGCAAGCCAAACCCCACACAAGTTTTTCTCCGCTTGGAGACCGAATACATAAAAATTTCTCGTATGACACGGTATATCGTTATAGTTGGCATTAAGTGCTACTATAATAAAATAGATGTAAACTTTAATTCTAATGTCTTTGTTTTATTGAGACAAAATGTTAGGTAGTGTTCAGCTTAGCTGCCATGTCCCACCTTCTTCATTTTTTTTTATTTTTTATTTTTTGGAAACTTCCCAACGTCTTCTTTAACGTTCTACACACCCTAGAGTTCTCCACACCCGTGATATTCATTTGGGTGATTGAGTACCTAAAAGCAATGAAAAAAGAAAAAGTCAAATATTCTGGAGGATTCATAAAGCATAGTCCACAATGGAAAGCGATTCTCATCATATCCTTTCTTCCTAATCTAATAAGTCTGAAAAGTCGGACTATTGAAATTTGATCAAATAGTTATAAACATGAAATCACTTTAAAAATTATAATAATTTTAGTCGTTGGATCAAATTCAATAATCTGAATCTCCGAACTTGATGGATTAAAAGAAAGAAATCTGAAAATGATGCTTTTCGTCCACAGTCTATCCATTTTATAAAGGCAGAGTGTTCTGTACACGATGCATGGCGTGGTGGTCATGATGGAGTGGAGTGATATAATACCCTTTTATGTTGACTTTATATATAGATAATTCCCCTGCATGTGCGTATAGAGTAGCCAAAACCTTTCATTTATACATACACAATAATGCGATTTTTTTGAGGGAAAAAATAAAAAAGAAAAAAAAGGAAAGAAAAATAGAAAAAAAGAAAAAGTTTTTTTCTTTGTCCGTTCGTACATGGTAAAAGATCAGCAATTAAAAAAGACTTAGCAAAATACTAAGAAAGATACAAATTTATATAGTTTGAGAAAATACTAGCACTTTTCTCACTCATCTTTTTATTTCAGCGTTTTCACTTTTATTCATGCAATGTATACTCTATTATTACTGTTCAAAGAAACGATATTATCTATTTTAAGAGAGAAGTGGTGGGTTTAATCTCACAATGAACTAGTAATAATGAGTTTAAATTCACTTTTGGCGAGAATCGAACCTAAAACCTCTCACTTACAAATGAAAAAAAAACATCATTAAACTATAATACTAAATGGCTATTCTACCAGTATTTCAAACTAAAAGTTTAGGGTTAATCTAAGTTTACTACCTGAAGTTTCTTGAGTTTCAACATTTGGTACATGAAATTTTTTTCCGTCCCAGTTTGGTACCTAAAGTTATAATTTTGGGACACTTTCATACATCTATTAAGTTTTCCGTTAGAATTTCTGTTAACTGGTGATATGGCACTCACGTGAACAATAATTAGACGCCACATATCAATATGGGCTCATGTCAATATTTAAAAAATTAAAAAACCCATCATCTTCTACCTCTCCCAACCCTCCCTCCCTTCTCTCCTCTGCGGCCACCCAACCCTCTTCATTTCCATACATCAAAACTCAGTCTTCCTACAAATCCACAACCACACATCCCTGAATCAACAAACTCAGGTTTGGAGGACTTGGAATCAAGGGCGAGGAGGGAGAAGGTGGGTTTAGGTCGGTTAGGGTTAGGGTTGAGGGTGTGGGAGAAGAGGATTTGGTCGTCGAGTTCGTCGGCGGGGAAATGGGGAAGCTGGGGTTGGAGGGGTGATGAAGTGAGGCCCAATGAGGAAGAGGAGAGGGAGGGAAAAGACGAAGAAGAAGAAGACCAGAAATGGGTTGGAGCATGCGAGGGAGGTGACGGTGGAGAAGAGGGCAGGGGGTGGGGGATGGTGGATGTGATGGTGGAGTTAGGGAGAAGGAATGGAGGAGGACTTCTTGGAGGTTGTGTGTGTGGGTGCGGAAGGCAGCGACAGAGGTGGCTACTGCTTGAACAATTGCAGTAGAGTCAAAGGGTGATTGGTGGATTGAGGGTTTCACTGGGAAATAGTTGGGTGTGTGGGCCCAGAGGATAGAGGTTGGGATTGGGGGAAGAGATGTACAGTTGAATTGCAATTCCTTTGGATGAGATTTTGTTAAGTTGGGTGTGCGGGGAAGGTGGGTACGGGTTGCAGATGGAAAAAGGGAGGGTGGTGCACGTTGCAGAAGAAAGAAGGAAGGGAAGGAGTGCAGGTTGCATAAGAAAGAAGGGAGGGAGAGGGTGGGGGATGAGGTAGGAGACAGTTGGTTCTTTTTTTTTTTTTTTTTTTTTTTTTTGTATCTTTTTTAATTTTTTAATATTCAAGTGGGACTATATTGACATGTGGCGTCTGGAAAACTTAATAGATATATGACAATGTCCCATAATTATAACTTTAGGTACCAGACTGGGAAGAAAAAAACTTCATGTATCAAATGTTGAAAACTAATAAACTTCATTGTAGTAAACTGAAATTAACCCAAATTTTAACTATTTTAAAGTTTCACTACTTTTATTCTTTTGTTAATATAATTAAAATTTTAATTTGTCAACTATAAAGTAATTAAACTTTAAAAATTGTTTATATCTTGGATTGCAGGTTGTTCCTTGTCAAATTGGGACTTTGGTTTGTTTTCGTTCCTGGATCTTGTTGATTACCTTGTGTTCGATATATAAACACACATACTATGATTTCTTCTCTTATTCTTAGCATTTATATGGATCAGTAGATACTATGCATGGACACGGACACGGATACGAGGATACAACACTATACGAGGACACGTCAAATTTCTAAAAACGAAGACACGATAAGTCAGTGATACGACAATTAAAAAAATATATAAATAAATAACTAGGGAAGTGTTATTGGCACTTCAAAAATCTCATTCTACACTCCTCACAAGTGTATTTTTCCTTTCAAATATAGAAAGTTTGAAATGTAAAATGAGATTTTTGAAGTGCCAATAACAATTTCCAATAAATATATCTAAAACATTATAAAATAAGCATTCAAATTTATTTCAATAAACTCTAAACAGCTAGAAAGATAGTCCATCCAACAAGCAATTAGTCTTAAAACTTGAAAAAGTAAAAAAATATCCATACCATTACACAATAATATATTATAATATGCAAAATACAATAATATTATAATAATACAAAAAAGTTAAAAATAGAAAAGCAAAAGGCTTCGAATAGACTATGGTGTAGGGGTATGGATATTATAATATATTATTGTAATATTATAATACTAGAATCAGATTAAGCTTTTAGAATCATATTTAAGGCTTCGAATGGACAATGGAGTCATTGAATCAGTAAAGCTGAGGAGTAAGATCAGGAAAGCATCGGATTCGAAACTATTAACAAAGTGAAAACGAAAGCTCACCACTCAAGCAGAGTGATTTTTGATCTTCAAGAGGTAAATCCGAATTTTATTTGTTTCTAATTATCCTCCGATTTTAGAATGATTTTAGTTAGCTGACTTCAATCAATCACGCATCTGTGCGAATTTATTGTGATTATTATTATTATTTTTTTCTGATTATCCTCCTATTTTAGTTTGAAACGTATCCAAAAAATAGGATATTTGTATCTTGACAATACGAGTCCTAAATGTATCACTTCACTCCGATATGTATCGAGCATGTATCCACATGCATTCGTATCCTCAGCGTGTCAGATACGGGATACGGTGGCTTTCTCCCGTGTGCATGCACCGTAGATTAGTAGTGTCATTTTTTTTGTCAATAGTTAGGTGGGGTTTTGAGGAGAAAGGGGAGCCTCGAATTTGGATGAGGAGGGCCATAAGGGTGCTTGATTTCCACTATGGCACTAGCCCTCCTCAAGTGGTGTTAGACCAACTGACTTTGTTTTATTTTCTTTCCTTTCACATATGCTTGATTAACATAAAATCTCGTTGAATAAATGGGCAGGTTGAATATGACAACTACAGTTGTTCCTACAGTTCTTAACTATAAGAATTATGAGGATTGGAGTTTTCGGATGACGACCTACTTTAAGTCCGAAGATCTTTGGGGCATCGTCAAAGGCACCGTTAATAAACCTCATGGAGGAGAAGGACGTAAGGCTTGGAAGAAGAAGGATGCCAAGGCCTTATATGCAATCCAAAATTCTTGCAGGGATGATACTTATGAACTTATCAAGGACGACACCACGGCCAAAGAAGCATGGGATGCTTTGTCAAATATGTTGGGTGAACCATTTAACAAAAAAGGTACGTACATACATGAGCAATTGAAGGAAACCAAAAAGAAAAGCTGATAAACATATGGCAATGGTTTTCTGGTTGTACCTTGTAGGTGATCTATGATTCTACCTTCTTATTTGATGAGGAATATTTTCACACACGCAGGCATTTGCGTGAAGGGAAAAGAAAAAAAAAAATTAAGAATTGAATGATAACATCTGTCATCTTAACATCAAAATTTTCATTTTCAGTATACACGTTCGTTGGTGAAGCGTATTCAACTTCGACTCTGATTGATGATGATACTACGCCAGAGGCTTCATTGGAAGAAGGGCGCACAGAAGGTATATATATGCATACACCTTGATCCTCACAAATTAATACTTGTTTATAATTCTATTTAATAGTAATTTATGCCACTAGCATCACCGATAGACCTCGTTGCTATTAATTTGGGGTGGAGTCTCCCTTATATATATAGTACATAATTTTGTTATATTTTCCAATCTAGGATTATTGTATTAATTATTTTGATGCCAGTATGGGAAATTTAGCAATTAACAAACATGGGATGCAGGAGCAGGACATGATGAGATCCAAGCAACTTTCGTGAAATATGTCAAGTCTAATGATTGGGATATTGCCATCGACTTTCTTCGCCAACATCCCCAGGCAGCAAGTGCAAGACCTTCTTTGGGTGGTACGGCTCTTCACTACGCAATCATGCAGAAGTGCAGCGTGCGCATTATACAACAGTTGGTGGAGTTAATGGCAATGGAACACTTGGAAATACAAGACGATTGCGATTACACAGCTCTTTATATTTTGATATTCCTGTTTCCAGAAAGGGTTGAACTAGCTGAATGCATGGTTAAAAAGAACCCCAATTTACTTACTATTTTTCCGCGTAAGTATAGGGAGGAGGCTCCAGTTGTGATGGCCCAAAGGGACGCAAAAGGAGATGGAACGGCTCGCTATCTCTATTCCCTTACTCCACCCGAAACGATAAGAGTTATTGATGCCGCTCAACTTATTTCTGACGGTTTTCGTCTTCAAAGATTTGGTACAACTTTTCCCCTTCTAATTCTTTTTTTGTTACAAATTTTGTCTATGTACCTACTTACAATGTTTTCTTTTCATGCTTGTATTATATATAGATATTGTGTGGGATTTGATTCAACGTTTTCCAAGATTGGCCTTAGCTATAGACCACAAAGAGAATATGCCCTTAGCAACATTGGCCAGTAACCGTTTTGCATTCAAAAGCGGAAGGCCGCTCAGTTTATGGGAAAACTTGATCTATTATGGTTAGTACATAATTACTTTTTGTTTTCTCATTGTATTTTTGTCTAGAATTAAACATTATCATATTTATATTTTCGTACCAATATCAATATACCACTAAGATCATAAATATGTAAATGCACAAAATCCCTTAATAATTTCAACTCCCCCGTAGAAAAATATGTTATCTCTGTCTTCTTCTATATAGTTCCCTTAATATTTTGCGATCAACTTTATCAGTTGTTTTTTTTCATTTTGCGTTCATGTTTCTGTTTCCAAAACAAAAAATTTCTTTTACTGTTTTTTCACTTCGCTCACCCGCATGTCATCTCCAGGTTCTCTCTCTCTCTCTCCTCCCTCCCTCTCCCTCAAAAATAAAAACAATTTGATCATTCATGAGACCTACTTATGTTGAATTGAGAGCCACGGGGACCAAAAAATAATATAAAGATTAGTTTTTAAAAAAGGTTGGAAAGGCTCTCACTCCGGCAGAGAGCTCAATAGGTACAAACAGGTTGGGTTTGGGTTAAAAAAATTTTAAACTCATTAAGCTGACGGATCTTAAATAGTTTGATATGACACAATTTATTAAAATAACGGATTTCACATGACAAACACAATTTAACATGAAAATAATATTTCATTGAATTAATGATTGGGCTTGTATTCTTATCTTGATAGCTATACGCATAAAACCCCTTCCTCTCATCAACAAGGAAAAACATGAAAGTGTGCAGAGTGATCAGAGTCATCATCTCGTTTCCTCAGGTATTTTACATGTCTGCAATCCAATTTTGCCTTTGTTAATGCCATGCCAATGCTACTATCAGTAGATCAATAGAATGTTAAGCAAAATACTTAAACACACAAAACATAAAAAAAAAAATGTGCAGATTACAGTACCCTTTGAAACCGAAATAGAATAAGGGTTTCACCTTAATTTCAGCCACAACCTTCCACTCTTCTCGGTCGAGTTGGAAACAACCTTGATTCACCTTCCTCCTCTCCAATCTTCCACATGCATACACAAAATGGAATTAAAATTCCAAATATAGAAATCGATCCCAAAACTTAAAGCTTTGATTTTGGGAAAGCACTTACACTGGAGGACAGACCACGAGGAGTTGATAATTTTTATCTCTTGGGTCGAGCTCCAATTCCGACAAGTTTGGCCGGAAGTCCTGCGGTCACCGTTTCTTAGATCTGAAACTGAGGAATTTCGGTTACGAATTTGTAGAAACTACCTTAGAGTTTGAAAAGAGGAAGGAAAGAGGATTGTGAAGGTATAATTTGACGGTCGTTGATGACCGGTGGCCGGCGGCGCTGTTTGTCTTTACTGGGTTGCTGAAGCAGCTTGAAATGGAAGAGAAGAGGGAGTGAGAGGTACGGGAGGGAAGAGGGAGAGAGGCAAAAGGAAAAGGAAAGGAAGGGAAATAAATTAAAATGCAAATGAAAAGTAAAAGTAATTAAACTGACAGCTTAAGGTAAAATTCAACTAACGGTAGAAAAATAAGGAGAAAATTAGAATCACCTATAGTTTTTCTATATCATTTAGATTAAATATCTATATGTTTTAAAATTTAATTAAAGTACTTTGATCAATAGTCACCTTTATTTTGTAAAATAGAAAATTAGAATTAGATGCCTCATTTTAGACTTTTGTAGACTAAACCTTTATGTTTTTTGAGTTTTTGATTAACCTTTTGAAATATTTGATTAAGATACTCAGGCTTGAACTATTTCAGATTAATTGAAATTAATTTACATTTAAACATCTACTATATATTTTAAATAATTTCAACTATATTTAAGTCTTAAAATTTAAACTTTTCAAATCTGAATGTACAGTTGTACACCCACGCCAAATGGAAACGTACCAACATTAAATAAAAACGTACCAAGCCCGAATTAAAATGTACCCAATTATAAACTATGTTAAAATGAATATTCATCTTTTTGGAATGTTTAAAAATATGTTTGATTCATACAAAATGCTCTAGATAGTCATGCTTTTTGGTAGATAAGTCTATGGAACAACTTTAGTTGATAGGAGATAAATCCTTATTATTGTAGATAATGTTAAATAATAACGATAAATCATATAATTTTGAATTAACAAAAAGGCTATTGTCCGTTGATTAATGACTCTTTCTATAAAAAAAAATAATCAGTTAAAGTAATTTAAACGTTTACATTGTTAACGACTCTTTCTATATAAAAAAAAATTAATTAAAGTAATTCCTCATTATTAGGACAAAAAGTAATAAAACTTATGTTTTGAAAATAAATGTACCAAAAATTAAATGTACCAAAAAGCCAAATGGACCAAAAATTCAACTGTACCAGGTAACTAAATGTACCATTATAATCAAACGTATCCATATAACCAAACGTACCTAACAACGAGTTTTGTTACATTCTATTTAATTTACTAAAATAAATATTTTAATAAAAAATAAATCATCATCATAAGATAGGCATAAAAATAGGAGGAAAAAAAGGAATGCTAACGTGAAAAGACTTTTAATGAAATAAAATTAAAGTACCAAAATTGTAGGGAAAATGTTTAATCAAATTTGCAAAAAGGATAGATGTTTGGTCTATGACATTTAAAAACGAGACGTCTATATCAAAACGTCTCTAAATAAAATGTTTTTGTTTTGTTTCTCATCAAATTTGACTTGTATGGCAGGAATGGGTTTATTCCAAAGGCTAGTGGCGAATCTCCAAAAAATTTTGGGTGGGCCATATACACATTTACATTGTTGATTGATTTATGATAATTTTATTAATGGTCAATATTATTTTAAATGATTTTTTCTTTTAATAAACTTAGGAATCAATCGTATATACCAGATGAAATTGGTGCATGAGCGGGTCCAACAGTTTTTACCTCTCATGTGCAAAGCAGTGAGGAAAGAAGATATGAATTATTATCAAGAAAGGAAATTAGAAGAAGCACTGTGCGTGGCAACAGAACGAGGGCATGTGGAGTATATTACTCATTTTTTTAGATATTCCTCATATCCCGTACTTGAAGTTAGGAACCAAAAAATTCAGAGCCTATTCCAAATTGCCGCTGAATGTCGTCACTACAATGTTTATAATATTATATGTGAGTTTCTCCGAAGACCAGATAAAGATGGCCTTAATAAATCCGAATCTGGCCTTCATTCTGATGAACTAAAAGAAGAAGTGGAGAATGTAGATAACCTCGGCAATAACTTGCTACATACGGTAGCAATGATTACTCCATCGTCACAAATTGATCACATTCAAGGTGCAACTTTGCAAATGCAAAGAGAACTACAATGGTTCAAGGTGACTATTTATGAAGTATTTCCCCTATATATTGTTTATATATATTTTGTGGCTACAAATTTACTCTCATTTTCTCCTACTCATTCACATATTTTTGTTATTTTATTTATTCAATTTCAAAAAAAAAAGAAAAAAAAAAAGAGAGAATGTAGAGGTTACTTCTCTTTAAAAGTAAAAAATCAAAACAAAAAGTTTGTTGACATGCACAATCATAACAAGAAAATTTTGAAATTAAAAAGGAAAGCATTATTATTTAACCATGTAATATACTATCATCCTACGTGCTTAACTATTGATTTTAGGTTATGTGGTGTCTCAAACGACAAAAGTTCAAGGATTTATATGAAGAGATAAAGATTTCAAAGTCACATCCTTAAATAATTTGATCTCCAAAAATGCAGGAGGTGGAGAGTATTGCAGAACCCAAGGATTGTGAATCTGTAAACAAAGATAATATGACACCACGAAAAGTATTCAAGGAGAATCACAAAGAATTGGGGAAAGAGGCAGAAAAGTCAATGAAGGAAACAGCAACTGCTTGTACAGTTGTAGGTGCTCTTATTATCACCATAATGTTTGCTGCAGCATTCACAGTTCCTGATGCAAATGATAAGAATGATGAAAAGACAGATCTTCCTACATTCTTAACTAATAAGGTATTCACAACTTTTATAGTTTCAGATGCAATCTCGCTCTTTACTTCAACAACCTCAGTTATCATGTTTTTGGGCATTCTCACATCACGTTATTCTGAAGATGATTTTTACAAATCCTTGCCCACAAAAATGATAATTGGCCTTTTCAGCCTCTTTTTATCTTTCGCTACCATGATGATTGTCTTTTCTTGTGGCCTTTACATTATGCTTGAAGGGAAATCATCAATTGTTATTCCAAGCATTTTGCTTGCTAGTGTTCCAGTTGCCTCATTCATATGGATGCAATTTCCATTTCTTCTTGAGTTATCCATTTCTACTTTTGGACAGGGAGTATTTGATAGGAAGCAGAAAAATTTGTTTTGAATTCCTATGTTATCCTTAGTTGGGTTTGGATTTGCTACTTTTTAAGAAGCTTGTACATAGAAGCCAATATATGTGCTTTTTATTTGGCCAATTATGTATTTGCTTTCTATTTGACAATTATGTATGTACTTTATATTTGAAAATTATGTATGGGCTTTCTATTCTTAAAGAAAATTTCAACTTCAATTTATATTTTTGAGTTTTCTTTTTTGGTGAATTTCTATTTTGAATTAGTTAGTAAGACAAGCTCTATATAGGCTCTAGTTTTTGCTTGATAAAATGAATTCAAAGCAACCTCAAAAGGAGGAAAAGTACATCAATGTTATCTCTTTTTTTTGGTCAAAGGGAATTTTTTATAACAAAGTCCAGAAGGACAAACTAGAAAGACTTCGCAGGTAAAAGCAAGAAATAAAACAGCCAAAAAAAGGATCGGTACAGACAGGACAACATATATGCATAAAATGCATGAGTAAAGGTTCCTATCTATACCAAAAGCAAAAAATTACATAGAAGCCCAAAAGCTAATGCCTAATTGTAGAGGCCCAAAAATGACCTCATAAAAAAACCTAAAAATCCTAAACAGAACTTCGCTAGCCGCATACGCGGCTGAAACGGTGCAGACACCACCGCAAGATGCACGGCTCGAACCCATCGTAGTCACTATGTTAGGGAAAAAGTGCCAAATCTTCAGATCTAATGAAACCGCACCAATAATGAATGCCACGATTCTAGCCCTCGGTCGATACCAAGCACACAAAAGGCATCTAAATGCCCAAAACCAAGCTGTAACCAAAAAGGTCAGGTGGTGCAAACACCATTCTAAAGAGATACCGGACCTTTGTAGGGGTAACAACATATAGTTGTCTTTGACCGGAGAGAAGCATGAAAGAAGCACCAAACAAGTGGTGAGGTGAGATCCACCAAATTTGGAATTTAATTCGAAGTTTTGGAAGATCTTGAGCACAGGGCCCCAAATCATAGCCCAAAGGCTCCAAATCAGATTACCATGAGACATGGGCTAAGAACCCGGAGATAATACTTCATCCACACCACCCGTAGATGGTGGGTAGCTCCACCGTTCCATGGCGGGGAATGGGGCAACCGCAGGTGCAGGGAAAGACAAAAGGCCTATAGATGGTGCCCCATCCACTCCTTCCGAATAAGGTGTGTTGAACCCCAGGTTGAGGACGGGAAAGGAGGCCATCGCAGGAGATAGGTAGGAAGGGAAGGATAGAGATGAGGAAGGAGAGGGGGGGGAAAACAAGCTTGAAAGTTATCTGCCACCGACCCCAAGCAGAAGCCAGAGGCCGGCGGCAGGTTTAGGGATTCTGCTGAAGTTTTTTGCTAGAGAGAGAAAAGGGATAATCAACTAATCCACTAATTTAATTTCCTCTCCAATAAAGGAAGCATTTGCAAGCTTCCACCCTTGGCAGTTGTTATCTCAAGCAGGGAAAAACGTAACATAGCAAGTAGAGATTAACAAAACTAAGCTATACATGCATACAAACAGAGGGCAATAGAAGGCACCGCCGAGCCATAACTATTAAAATACCAGAGGACATGGTAATTCATCGCGTGACAAGACCAAGACCAAAGACATCATATTTTTGAAAATACACGTACATCAAAAAATGTTTAACTTTGAGAAGACGATTTACATGTTAGTAGCTTAAAAAATATTGAAACAAGAGAAATCTTTTTACAAATGTTATCAACATTGACAACAATGAATGCATTATAAAACGTAGTGTATCAGCTCATATTTTAAATACGCTGAAAAGCCTCTTCCCACAATTACCACAATACATGTATTAACCACCATCCATAATTGAACCTAGGAAGACATTTAAAATTCCTTGGTAGAATTCTCTACCAACTTACAATTTCAGTGTCTGCAGACTGCATGCACCACCTAACTAAGCATTCAACCATACATAATACATTAACCAATGCGTGTAAATATCACATGCATTCACCTTATGAGAATTACCTTGTGGGAATTTCAAAAGCCATGCACCTCCACTGAGGAGGGACGTGTCATTCTCAATAGGAAGAGATTTTTTTCAGCGTGCCCAAAGCATTTCATAACATAAGTAATGGACATTGAAAAATATATTTCTCCCTCCACTTATATCATACTTCTCCTTGTTCGTGGGTTTTCCGTGTGAATTTGTTCGATCTTGTTTCCTTCATTTAGTATCCACAATAGATAGACTTGCTTAATTCCTATCTCCTTCACGTAGGACTAGGGAGACGCTGAGGACCATAGACAGACTTGCTTAATTCTTATTGCTTAAGTAAGAGTTATGTTTCTGAATACGGAAAATGCATTGGCTGATCATGATTGCTTTCTCTTCTGATCTTGGAAATGCATAAAATGTTGGAAATTTTGAGTAGAAATTTCTTTGTCCCACATTGGCCATTCCCAAAAGGTTCTCTCACTTTATAAGGCTTTGTCCCTTATAAAAAGTGATTGAAGTGATAGGCCTTGGAGACTAAAATTGGGCTCACCCTTGGGGTTGAGCTTTGGGGTGTACTAATTAATTGGTAATTAATACATATAATTAATTATCAAAAGATAGGTCTTGGCCTCTAATAATTAAATTAATTCATTATTTTCGGATTTAACTAATTAATTTTTTCGAATTTAATTAATTAATTAATTTTTACCAACAGACTCGTCTTTTTAGATGAAGTCTGAAGAGTGAAAAAAAATGCAAAAAGGATACACCTCTCTGAGAAGATGTCTCTCAACAGATGCATCCCTTCCTCATACCTGTTGCGAATAGGCATAATCATATTATATATACATCCATCTGCATGGCATTTAGAACATAGAAAATACAATTCTTCTTCTATAATTCAAAACATCCTTACTGAGAGAACCACATAGAAATTCGCCAGAAGTCCATTTTTCCGGTGCTAGAATTCTGACTTGATTGTTGAATTCTGGTGAAGCAGACTTCCGTAGAATTACAAGCACTGAGTAGGGACGAAATTTCTGTTTCAAGGACATTACGGTATGCAAGCCTCAATCTTCAATATTTCTATTCAACATTATTTCGTTGTTCATACTCTGTTAATTTCCTATTTGCATTTGTTATTTATTAGCATATATAATTTTATCACAAATTGTTGACATATATACAACATAAAAAAACTTCATACTTTCGGAAAGGATCATTAACCATCCAACATGTTTCTTCAGTAACAAAAGATAACCAAATTGATATATGGCTGTTGAAGAGTTATTATATATGATACGAAGAAACTCGTGGGGAAAAGATTACAGCATACACATCAAGGTGAGTCCTAGTGTGATAAAAATTTTCGTACTCCTCTTTTTATCGTGGGTACTCTGCGCGATCTGTCGTAGGTGCTTGGGAGCATGGCATATACTGTTGAGAGTTGTCCCATATTGATGAAGAACAATGTTTGTTATGTACTTATATGATCTTGGGCTACTCCCCATATTGCGAATTGGTTTTATGGTGGAACCTCAATGTCATTATGGTATCAGAGTAGGTTGTCCTCGTGTGAAGCCAAACAGCCACACGCTCTCCACGTCACCTAGTTGTTGTCTATGTGTAGCCTTAAAAATCCGCCACACGTGCGGGGGTGTGTTGAGAGTTGTCTCACATTGGTGAGGGACAAGGTTTGCTATGTGCTTATATGATCTTGGGCTACTCCCTATATTGCCAATTGGTTTTATGATGGAATCTCAATTTCATCGTATACTTCAAAGGGTACTACTCCAAATTCGAAAGTAATGTTTTCTTTTTCTTTCTAAACCGTGGAAGGGAAACATTAGAATTGTTCCAGTTGGAACTTCGAATGGGAATTGCAATGTTATACCACTCAATATGTTCATTTATACCACAAGCTTGATTTGTTTGCCGAAATATGGTAATTAATTTGATCCAAGGAGATGTGGGCCAGAGAAATCTCTTTGACATGGGAAAGTTACAGAAGTCTAGTAGTGTGCCGCGGTATTGCAGGGAAGATGGGGAGAGAAGCAATTCCACTGCAAGGAAAAACACTTTTTACGACGAAGTATTTGGCCACGGAAGTAGGGTTTCAACGCCAAAGGTATAGAAGGCATGGCAGTTGGCAGAATGAGAAGTAGAACAAGGTTTAACTTATAAGTTGAGTCATCGTCGATTAATTACTCTTCAATTAATCGCAGAATTCATAGCATCATCATAACTCAACGTGGTGCGATTCTTCAGTTTGAAGGCATGTGATGAGTCAATTTCACATTATATATTTTACCCTATTTTTAGTATATTTTAGTTAATATTTTGGAAGAATTTTGATATTTTAAATTGTATTTCCAATATAGGCCTTTCGATTTCTTCTGGAGCAAAACATGGCCAAATTGACGAATTTTGGAGTAATTTCAGTTGGAGGACGATCGTGAGTCACTTAGCTTAATCGTATCAAAATATCAGATTTTTCTACAAATCGGTTATTTTCTAGCAATAAAATAAATGAGTGATGCGCGGTGCTGGAATAGTGACGTTTTGGGCTTGACTTGCATTTTTGGAGCCTAAGATGATATCGGATGGGTTCGTGACCTTTTGGAGATGTGTTCAGAACGTCCTGATCTTCAAAACAAGCTATTATGGGCCGGATTTTGAGGAGATTTGAGGCTAAAACGTGGCTGGATAATTTCTGCGCAGTTTCTCCTAGTTTAATTAGGACTTTATTTTCTAAGTTATTTTATTATTATTTAGTTTCCTAGTTGGAATAAGAGACCTATGTCTTAGGGTCTGTGCGAGGGCTTAGCAAATATATTGTTTTGCCGTACTTAGTCTGTTGGACGCTGGCTTTTATGAAACTTTGGAGACAAAGAACTTTGCAAGGGTTCTTGAAGATTTTCTACTTTAAGGTGTTTTCATTCCTTTTAGTCTTAATAATATTTTCTATGATGTCAATTATGAATATACGTAACTAATTTCTTTTGCTAAGGCGAAACTTTGAGCCTTAGCATGAATATGTAATTTTTATTTAATTGCTTATGATTGATTGCATGCATACTTTGAATTATTGATCACCGTGATTAAAACTATCTAATTGTCTTAATGCCTGATCACCATTAGGATCTTTAGAAAAGTAATTTGATGCAGTTTTGGTTGGAAGGTTCCCTGAAATTGATGTTGGCTTCTTGTAATTAATAATTGTAATTTCACTTAAGATGAACAACACGTCTTAAGGGTTGTATGGTTTTTTAAAGGGTTTTCATAAAGCATAATGAGTCTTTCATGTTCAGATTTGATCCGAACGTTCGGACATGTTGCATGTTAAATATATGTTCTATGTTGGAGGTTCCAAATAGAATATAAATTAGGAAAACCTAACCTTCAAAGTGGCATGTGTAGATCATAAGTAATTGATAAAAATACGTAGGATTGCTAGGTGATGGTAGAAACCTAGTGCTTTTATAAATTGATATTTAAAACTCTTTTCGTTTGTCATATTTGTTTTTAATTAAAATTCATTTTTAATATTACTCAAGTCTAAAATCCCTTTTCTCAATTTTTAATTCTAAGTATTTAATTAGGAATTGTTTCTACATAAATTATCCAAACAGTCTTTGAGGGAAACAACCTTGCATGAGCATCTATACTACGACATCCTTGTATTCTTGCAAGTATTTCATATGTTTTTATCTCTACTTTTGTAGATGGTAAAAATCCTATCAATATGTGCTTTAGAATCAAGGGATGCCAACGTGGTGCGATTCTTCCGTTCGAAGGGTTGTATGCGCTTTTACAGTCTTCTGGTCGATGTTTTGTCCTCTATTTTTTTTTTTTTTTTTTTTTTTTTTGGGTTCCCTGAGTTGTGGGACCTGTGAATTCATTCATATGGCTTCTTTCCTTGGTGTCCAGGTTTTGTTTGGGATTTGGTGGAGCCAATGAGCTGCCTTAAAAAAGAATTTGCTTTTGTTGGAGTTGTTCGATATAACGGGTTACTGAGTTCCTTCAAATATAACTAACTCTGCGCACTTTGCTTTAGTTTTGCTACTTTTTGACTTTTTCACTTTTCAATTATCCTGGTTATTTTATTTGTTGTGAATGCGTTTTATGATCTAAATTAAAAAAAAAAAATTAATATGCTCGGAACATGGGCACATACGCTATATATTTAAATTGCAAGCTCTACTTTTGCTTTCTAGGAAGGAAACCGGTGGCTTTGTGTGTTCCCTTTCATTCAATTTTTACTAGCCTAATCTTACACTCTTTGTAAAAAATTATTAGTATTTTTTAATTCATTTTTAATATGTAAGTAAATATATTAATTGAAATAGATTTTTAAATTGTTAGTATTTTTTAATTCATTTTTATAGAAAGCGACTCAGATTGTAAAGGTTGGAAAACACAATAGAAAAGGATCCTTGCCAGATCTTTTTTCTGGGGATCCTAGAGATTCCGTGATCGTGATCGTTCATCGTACATCGTGTGGTCAGAAATCATTTCAAAATTTAAAATTTAAAATTAAATATAAATAGTACTTAACGAAAACTGATCGCACGATGTATAATGAACGGTCACAATCACGAAATTCCTAGAATCTCATCCTTTTCCAAATACAATGACCATTTTGACTAAATTAAAAACATAGTAATTAAAATAGATTTTAAACACACGGACGGTGACCAAAAAGGTTTGGGCTTATAATAAGTGTCGTGGGCCCGATTTCCCTACTTGTAGTGTAGTAAAAAATAAAGAAATTATAAACACTTGTCTTAGCCTCTCACATGTTTGTTTAATCCTTATTGTTATTTTCATTTGACTTTTTCAATTCGACCACCATAAATATAGAGTGATGTGCGAAAAGCTAAATATTGTGGGTGAAAATAGAAAATATTGCCTACTTTTGAGGAGTAGGCATCAATTGCCCAATGGCGTAGCCATGAATTGTTCGATGGGTGGTCTAAGTTAAAATTATTACTTTAAAATCAAATTCATTTGTTGCGTATATGAAGTTATATAACTTGAAAGTAATAATTTGAAGTAAGAAATTTATACTACCACTTAGTGATACGGTCTAGTGGTATTCCTCTTTACTTGTAAGTGATAGGTGTTAAGTTCGATTTTCGCCAAAGATGAATTTAAACCACATTATTGCTAGCCCATTGTGGATGGAAGTTTTAATTTATTACTATTAAATTAAAATATTGGTTAAAGTGATGAGTTTATTTAACATTTATTAACTCTTATTTTCCTTAAAAGTAGCCTTAAGATTCAAAATTTTCATTTGCTAAGTGAAATATGACAATTAAAATCATAAAATACCCCAAAAGATTAATATTTTGAAGCTTAAAGATTCAAAACACTCCCTATGCTGTAGTCTAGGGAAGCCTTGTACTTGGCTCCGCCAGTGCAATTGTCTATACCATTGAAGTTAATTTTGACCTACATGACTCATCAAAATGAGTTTGTCTATTCAATTGCCTACATTATTAGAGATGCTCTTACTGAAAATAAGAAAATCAAACCAGCTGTATGCATGATGGGAGGAGCAAAGAACACTCCACTTATCAAATGTGTTCAAGAAGGCTGTACGTAGATGTATATCATATCTTTCACACATCTACCATCAATTTCACATGGAATATAATTTTCTAGTTATTTTTTTATTTTATTAAATTCGGGGATGGTGAGCAATTTTTGTATTTTTATATGTTTTTGGAGTTTTCAAACTTGGCTCGTGGACGTTGCAGATCCACTTGAGCTTGACATTGCAAGTAGCTTTGGCTGGAGTGTCCTACTCCTACATTGGAATGAGCCGACAAGTGATTTCCTTCGTGAAGTAGTTGAGTTTCGTTGTCTCGCCTGTTGGATTTCTCTACAACATTGGCTGGATGTAGTTTTCGCTTTGAGCGATGAGTTATATGATCTCGTCAACCAACGATGAATTTACTTGGTATCACTCCTTTTCGATGATTTTATGTGGCCTCGTTAGTTGGCAATGACTTGTAGTCACTGATACAAATATGTTGCGTCTATCGTTTTGTGGTATGGGTGGCGCTTCGTTGATCGATGATTGCTTGTGGTCAATAATAGAAATTTGTTACGTCAATCGTTTTGCAACAGATCAGTATAGTGGCGTGTGTCATTTTGGTACATATGGTAACCGTTTAGGGGTTTACTATGGTTCCCTTATCTGAGAAAATTCACACTAGATCAATTTTCTTTTCAATGGAGCATGGTCCCCAATCAGCACCTTTGTATTAGTTTGCAATGTTAAATAAAAGGATAATGATAGGAATACAAAATTTTTAAACCAAATGATGTGTCACGAATATGAAATAAGCACGTTAATCAACACTTAAGTAATAATCCAATTATCAACATCCACATCATTTGGTTTACGAAATTTGGTTTAGAAGTTTGTTCTCCCTAGCATTACTCTAAATGAAATATCAACTTATCGTTTCTTCTAAAAAAAAGAATTTGTAAAAAGAGAAAAGATAAGAGTGCAAGTAGACCAAAAAAAAGGAAAGATAAAGAAAGTGAAATGCTGAGATTAAAATAAAAGATCTAAATAGCTGTGGAAATCAAAGCTAACTGCTGAAACACCCGTAACATTGAATGATACATAGCATTGAAGCCTTACCTGATTTTATACTTTACTTTGGTCTATTTCTTTTGTGAGAATGATATTCTTACTTGTCTTATTTGTTGTTAAATTTCTCATCTCACATCAGAATGAGATTCTTTAGAGTTTCTATAAATTTCTCTCCACTTCTCTCATTTGATTTCATTCTCTCTTTTCATCTTCCAAATCTTGTAACCATTTTGGAGACTTATATTTTAAACATTGTTCATATTTTGGATTGCAGGTTCTTCCTTGTCAAATTGGGACTTTGGTTTGTTTTCGTTCCTGGATCTTGTTGATTGCCTTCTGTTCGATATATAAACACACATACTATGATTTGTTCTCTTATTCTTAGCATTTATATAGATCAGTAGGGTCATTTTGTTATCAATAGTTAGGTGGGGTTTTGAGGAGAAAAGTGAGCCTCAAATTTGGATGACGAGGGCCACATGGGTGCTTTGATTTCCACTATGGCACTAGACCTCCTTAAGTGGTGTTAGGCAAACTGACTTTGTTTCATTTTTTTCCTTTCATATATGCTCGATTAACATAAAATCTCGTTGAATAAATGGGCAGGTTGAATATGACAACTAAAGTTGTTCTTAAAGTTCTTAACTATAAGAATTAGAGTTTTCGGATGAAGACCTACTTTTTGGCCGAAGATCTTTGGGACGTCGTTGAAGGCACCATTAAGGAACCTCCTGAAGCAGAAGAACATAAGGCTTGGAAGAAGAAGGATGCCAAGGGCTTATATGCAATCCAGAATTCTTGCGGAGATGGTACTTATCCATTAATCGAGTACAGAAACTCGGCTGAAGCAACATGGAGGACTTTCTCACTTAATTTGAAGCGAGCTGGAGGAGCATCAGATGAAAGTGGTACGTACATAGATGAAAAGTTGTTGAGGAATATTTTGTAATTATTTCGCACGTAAGCATAGGCATTTGTATATAGGAAGGGAAAGGAAAAAAGAAAATTAAGAATTGAATGATAAATCAAAATTTTTATTTTCAACAAAAAAGCCAATTGGTGAAGCGTATCTAAACACGCCAGAGTCGGCATTGGAAGAAGGTCTCAATGTCACTAGAGGTATCCTCACAAATTAATACTTTTTGTACATAATCTATTTAATAGTAATTAATGATAAACGTTTAGGTTTATTATCGGTGATATTAATTAGGAGTTGAATCTCCCTCTTATATTATTATTATTTTTTTTTTTATATTTTCCGTGAATTGTATTAATTAATTATTTTGATGCAAGTATGGGAAATTTAGCAACTAACAACATGGCATACAGGACACGATGAGAGAGATGAGAGCGTTGAGACTGTGGTGACTCTTGAGAGCAATGCCAACCATATCCAAGAAACTTTCGTGAAAAATGTCAAGTCTAATGATTGGGATAATGCGATCAACTTTCTTCGCCAACATCCCCAACTAGGAAGTGCAAGAGTTCAATGGGATGGTACAGCTCTTCACTACGCAATCAGGAAGAGGTGCAGCTTGCGCATTATACAACAGTTGGTGGAGTTAATGGCAAATGAAGACTTGGAAATACAAGACTCTCTTGGTTGCACAGCTCTTTATTATTTGATAACTTTGTTTCCAAAAATGGTTGAAGTAGCTGAATGCATGGTTAAAAAGAACCACAATTTACTTACTATTATACCTACTTCTATGCCGTGGTGGAATAGGAAGCCTCTAGTTCTGTCTGCCCAAGAGAACGCAAAAGGGGAAAGAATGGCTCGCTATTTCTATTCCCTCACTCCACCTGAAATGATAAAAGTTATGGATACCACTCAACTTATTTCTGACGGTTTTTGTCCTTAAAGATTTGGTACTTTTCCCCGTTTGATTTTTTTTTTTTTTAAACAATTTTTGTCTATATATATATTTACAATGTTTTCTTTTCATGCTTGTATTATATATAGATACTGCGTGGGATTTTGATTCAATGTTACCTAAAATTGACCATTTGCTATAGACCACGACATGAATATCCCCTTAACAACATTTACCAGTAACCGTTTTTGCATTCAAAAGCAGAAGGCTGCTCAGTTTATGGGAAAAATTGATCTATTATGGTTAGTACATAATTGCTTTTAATTTTCTCATTGTATTTTTTTTTTCTTTTTAAAAGATAAAGCTTGATATAAGTCCAATTTTGTAAATCACTATTAGTATTAGTCTACATACGTGAAATTGGTCCAATATCGAGAATTACACATCATCGTACTTTTATTTTCGTACCAATATTAATATACAACTAAGATTATAAATATGTAAATGCACAAAATCCATTAACTATAGGATTACTAGTTGGACGAATTCCTTAATTATAGGAGTTGAACTTATCCCTCAATAACTTCAATTCCCCCGTAGAAAAATATGGTATCTCTGTCTTCTTCTATCATTTTTTTTTTTCATTTTGTGTTCATGTTTTTGTTTCCACAACAAAAATTTTCTTTTACTGTTTTTTCACTTCCCTCACCCCACATGTCATCTCAACGTTCTCTGTCTCCTCCCTCTCTCTCTCTCTCTCTCCCTTAAAAATAAAAACAACTTAATCATGCATGAGACTCATTTATGTTGAATTGTAAGCCACGGGAACCCAAAAAATAATAAAAAGATTAGTTTTAAAAAATGTTAGACATTTGATCTAAGATTGGAAAGGCTCTCACTCCTACAGAGAGCTCAATGGGTACAACAGGTTGGATTTGGGCTTAAATTTTTTCAACTCATTAGGCTTACGGAGCTTAACTGGTTTGATATGACACAACTCATTAAAATAACGAGTTTCACACAAACACAACTTAACATAAAAATTTTGGTTGAGAAGAATATTTCATTGAATTAATGATTGGGCTTGTATTCTTATCTTGATAGGTATACGCATAAAACCTCTTCCTCCCATCAACAAGGAAAAACATGAAAGTGAGCAAGTGATCAAAGGCATCTGTTAGACCAAAAAGAGAAGCAAAGACATCATCTTATTTCCTCAGGTAAGTTAAATGTCTGCAATCCAATTGGTTTATGTTAATGCCATGCCAATGCTACTACAAAAATATATGAACATATTTATTCCATATTTCCTAGAGTTGTAGTCATAATATCAGTAGATCGATAGAATGTTAGCTACAGTCATGCAATGCAATTTAAGTATGGCCACATTGAATTAGCAAAATTCTTAAACCACAAAACATAAACAAAATGGGCAGATTATAGTACCCTTTAAAACCGAAATAGAATAGGGTTTTCTCGGATTTCACCTTATTTCACCCACAACCTTCCATTCTTCTCGATCGAGCTTGGAAACAACCTTGATTCACACACTACTACAAAAGAGGCTATCACTGGCGGTGGAAAAACCGACAAGAAACCCTAATTATTGTCGGATTTTTGGTAAAAATCTAATATTAAATGATGCAATGTCGGATTAGAGAACCGATACCGTTGCTAGCGTTACGAAAAGGGTTTTGACGTCCGTTAGTCCTCTTAATCCACCACCAAGAAACAAAGTAATATAAAATAAAAAAGAACAACAGTGTCGGTTAAAAGTGACAACTAAACTTACGTCGGTTAGAAGCGACGTTGAATTCTGACATGAAGGCGGTCCTAACCGACATCAAGCAACAATTAAAGAATTAAAATATCAAACCTATTGTCGGTCCTAACCGACATCACGTAACAGTTAAGCAAATAAAATACTCAAACTACTCTCGGTTTTAATCGACATTACATAACATCTCAATACATAAAATGATTATTATGCTGTCGTCCATAAGCGACACCAAATATATTAATAAAAAAAATTTTATGTCAATTTTTAATTAATAATAATTAAAAAAAATTATATAAACATAATTCCCACCATATGTCAATGAAAAAACAAACAATTTTAAGCAAACTTCATATTAAAAATAAAATTTCTACCAACTATATATTAAATTTCAAATTAGCTACAATTCTTAAAAATGCACAACCCATACAAATTCTTCCCGAACTCTTGCAAAAGATTTTGAACCGGTTGTGTGGTTCATAGTTTTCAATTGCCGATTATGCTTATTTTTTTCGGCAATCTCCTGAAAAATAAAAGAATTTATTAGACAAATTTCAAGGTATAATAAAATAAATCATGAAATGTTTACCTTTGTTTTTTCTTTATTCCAGTATGCCACCATCGAAATATTTCTGTAATCTCTAACCTCTGCCACTACATGTTTCGAAAACGCACTAGAATTATCACTAATGCATTTTCCAGGTGAATCAAATGAACAAGGCTGTAATTTCTAATTTGAAATTGAGGGTCCGCATGACACACCCCGACCGAAATCAGGGCATGCTGGCCGTCACTCGGAGGTGACGTAACCATGTGCACGTGCGGAAGCTAAAGAAAGTAATGTAAAAGTACGAATAAATTAAAATCTAGTAAACAAAGTACCAAGACAAGTACTAGCGTAAGTGAGACGCTAAGTTCAGAGCAAGACTACAGCAGTCCAAAGAGAAAAGTACGACAATAGTACACCCGAAGGTGACCCTACATTGATGAGTATCTGTCAGAAATGCCGGGACGCCCTCTGGGAAGACCACCGCAACTGCTAAGCAACTAGAACCTGGAGGGGCGCAAAACAAAAGCGTGAGTGGGCAAAAACAAAGCTCTTTGAAAACCATTTCATAAAATACATTATAACCCATCGCCGTAAAACCTGTATACTTCCCAGAAAATAAACGTATGTACGTATACATAGATATGCCATGTCATGCTCAAAGGTATGCCAATCATACTCAAGATATGCCACATCGGAATCTCATAATATAATGTAAACGCTCAGGCATAACTCATATCATTAACATATAACCTGGCAGCCGGAGTCACCTAACGTGACTTGTACGGCTGTATATAGAGCTCAAATCTCATTCACAATAACTAAACAACTGAACCTGCCCACGAGTCGGAACCACCTAATGTGGTCTGTACGACAGGCCTGGGTGTTACGTATATATACGTTCTAGTGCTACGATCACGTGAAGACTGGGCGAATAATCGCACGTCACCTACGAGTCGGAACCACCTAATGTGGTCTGTACGACAGGCTATGCACCTAGCTTGGATCCAAGCTGAGCATAAGGTGCGGGGAGGTGAACATCACGTGAAGGACTGGCCCTGCTCAGGGCGAGCACTAACATCGGGGATCAGGTTATGAGCTCTCAAAGCATCTCAAACTACTGCTGAATGTAAATACGAATAACCTTTACCTGGCACTTACCTGTGCATCCATAGCACCCAATACACATATATATAAATGCATGCCACTACTAATGCATGTAATGATGCATGAACGACAAACATATGATGCATGGCATAAAACAATTAATCTTTTCTAACCAATTTCTGGGAATATAAACGTATATAGGTATATACGGAAAACCAAAAGCCCACTCACTGATAAGTGGAAGGGTCGTAGCCCCCTTGCCTCGAGTGAATACGCTCGTCCTCGGAATACGTATCACCTATACGCGAAACAACTACAAAAACGTTAATTTCAAAGCACATAACCAATTTCTTGTAATAACTTCTCATACATTGCTCAAAATGGACAAATGAATATACCAACGTGCTCTACACAACCTCAGGATCACACCCATATTTTTAAAATAATTTTTGGACCCCGCACGCGCCCCCACGCGCCGTCTAAGGCACGGACCTACGCGCCCCCCACGCGCGGCCACGTGCCATGCACACTGACGGCGTCAACTGACGCCGTCAGGAATATTCCGTTAGACTGACGGAATATTCTCTAACTGACGCCGTCACTGCCGTTAGGAATATTCCGTTAAAACTTAACGGAATATTCTCATTTCTTCTCCGGCGAGACGCCGTCGCCGGAAAACTGCAAAAACTTCAAACTTAGTTTTCTCACTCGTTTTTCAACCATTTTTCACGTTCTTTATACCAAAATGAAGCTTAGGACTAGTAGAATCACGTTAGACTACTTTTAAGGCCTAAAAATCAAGGAATCTCACCTTCAACAACGATTCAAGTTCGGCCAACTTTGAACCAAGCTTTCCCGACGTCCAAATTTGTCCAACGAAGCACTCCCAAGCTCCTTGGGACCTCACTAATACATCTACAAGCTTAGAAAGTCCAAAAACTAACTAGATTAAGTTTGCATGAACAGTGTACAAATCGGCCATTGTCAAATCGACGTGAAAACGTAAGATTTCTCACCTGAAAATGGTATGGTTGTGCTCCTCTCGACTTCACGAGTTCAATGGTGTAATTGGTTTCTTGATTTGTGAAGGTTTGAGTACCTTTGTGTGTGTGTCCGTATGTTGAAGAAAGAAGAAGATGAAGAAGAAGAAGGGAGCTCGGGGAGAGAGAGAGAAGAGAGACAGAAAAGAGACAGAGAAGAGGGAATTAAGGAAAAGCAAAAGGGAGAAATAATGACAGGGTGTGTGTGTGTGGTCCAACAGATATCCACACCACTCGAAATCACACTAGACTCAAATGTAACGAACTAGGGGTAAAATGGTAATTTCACATGTACGTTTTTATAGTTTCGGGACGGGATGTCACACCGCATCTCCCTGGAGTTGATCCTTATAAATACAAAAGAAAAAAAAAACAATTAAAAGCCAAGAAACAAAAATAAATTTTCAATTTAAGCATAAAACTAGTTAGAACACAAAACTAAAACTAAAATTAATAATCATAATAATTTAAAAATGAACCACCTTCGAGCTCTTCCTCTTCGAATTGGAGTTCCTCAGAATGTTGATCTTCAAAATGGTGATCCATAGCAAATAGGGAAGGAGAAGAGGAAAAATTGAAAAGGAGGAAGAAAGGGATGCACGGATGAAATGGGAAAGGAGAAGAAGAAAGACTGAAATTGGGGGAGAAATGAAAGCACAAATGAAATGGGAAAGAGAAGGGTTTAAATATGGGTACTTAGTTGGCGTCGGTTTAAACCGACATTGATTGACTAACGTCGAATTAAAAGTCACTGGTGTCGAATTAAATGTACATGGTGTCGGTTAAAACTGATGCCAACGTGACACACTTTACTGATATTCACGTCGAGTTAAATGAACTAGTCAACATTTTGACACACTTTATTGAAAATACGGTGTCGGTTTAAATTAATGTTGGTGTTAGTCTTAATCGACACCAACTTCTGACACACTTTTTGAAATTCACGTAGCATTAGTTTAATGAAACTCGCGTCAAATTAAATGATGATAGCGTCGGTTAAACCGACACTAAGTCTAACACTGACGTATTCTGCATCCATGTCCTCGTGCAAAACAAGCGAGAAATTTCCCACTTAATATTTCAAATTATCGGACCAATGTCGTCGGCTAAAAGCCACAACAGACTAGTTAAAAAAAAAATTGTTTAACCCAAAGAAAAAAAATAACCAGCTTTTTTTTTTTTTTGTGTTGTCTCATATAACATTTTAAGATTTTAATAAATAAAATTTAACTTGAATAAAATACGTAATAAAAAACATAAATATAATTTTATTATAAAATATCATCACATACTAATTGAAACATAGTCTAATTAATACTTAAAATACATAAAACAATTAATATATTTATTCTAAGTCATCATCTGTTAGGTCGTCGTCGGTATTGGCATAATTAACTAAATCAGTAAGCAACGGTAATGATTCATGAAAAGGAGTCTCTTCCACGCCAACCCTTGTAAGGAAATTTTCATTGTCAAGTATCCTATCATCCAAATTAGGTATGGCATAATCATCAGTTGCATCACTATCCTCTAATACGTCAAACAAATCCCTCAACTGTGTTCGAACAACTAAGTGCCTATATTTTTATTGTGTCCTTGACGTAAAATACTTGTAATGCTTGTGATGCTAATATGAAATTATGCTCTTTAAATCTCAATCGATTGAAGTTCACCATGGTAAATCCATATTGATTAGTCTTCATTCCTCATTGACTTTCACTATTAAGCCATTCACACTTAAATAACATCACAGCTTGACCCCTACCTTATGCCTCAGTATAACCACAATATTTAACCTCAAACATATCTACAACTTTGCCATAACAATTTAGTTGCTCAATTGCACTAGGAACATTTGCAGGTACAAAGACACCACAATTTTGATTCTTATGCTTATCATCCACATATTTTATGCGAAATCTAAACCTATGAACAATGTGACCCTTATATCTACTCACAACCCTACTAGGATAATTAGCTAGCCAATGCAAGTCTTGAGATATCAACGTGTCATTACGATGACATCTTGAATCCATCTGTAATAAGAATAAAGATAAAAGTTGACATGATAACTATAAACATGTTATAATTAAAATGTAAAAATATAAATAAATAATGTGATTGTTATATCAACTCAATTGTTGCTTGAACCATTTTTTAAATTCTTTCTTGCTTAACTCCTTGATTCGTCGTATAGTTAACCTTTCTCGACGATGTTTAGTTTTCAAGAATTCCTCATGTTGCCTGGGCAATTATGTCCTAATTTAGATAATTAATTCTTCAAAGTTAAGAAAACCATTAAGATGTATGATTAAACGTTCTTACCATCTAAATGGGTTAACTTCATCACAATTATTTAGAATATATCTATGGCACTGATCAAGAAAATTTAGATAGAACTCCACATTTTCTCCCGAACCCATATAACATCCTTTGGAGTAAAAAATTGATAACCCATTAGATACTCCAAGTCCAATACCATCTTCATTTCGGCCTCTTCGAGTTCAACGAGACTCGACATCTCTAAGATACATCGAATAGAAGGACAAGCACTTGTCCACTAAATATGCTTCAGCAATAGAACTTTCAAGACGACCCTTGTTATAAACAAAGCGCTTCAGTGTTTGCAAATACCTACAATTATAAAATGAAACACAAATTATTATAATTGTTAATTAAATTTATGACTACAATTGTAAAAAATTATAAAAAATATTTGTTAATTACCGTTCAATTGGATACATTCATCTATATTGAATAGGCACTGCAATAGCTGCTTCATCTGCCAAGTGAACTAGGAGGTGCACCATTATATCAAAAAATCCATGAGGGAATTTTTTTTCAAGTTGACATAATGTCAATGCAATTCTTGAATTCAATTGCTTGAATCCTTCCTCAGACTCCTTCTAACTACACAACTGTCTGAAAATTGAACTCAACTCTAATAGTACCATAGTAACAGATTTAAGCAAAATCGGACATATTGCAAGCGGGAATAACTACTGCATTAAAACATGGCAATCGTGACTTTTCAACCCATATATTTTTTGTTCATTCACGTGCACCCATCATGACAAATTTGATGAATATCTATTGGGGACTCGAATAGTAGACAACACTTGGCAAAACGCAGTTTTTTCTTCTCTTGTCAACATAAACAATGTTGGAGGTCAAAATGTTCTATTTCCTTCTTTGCGTGGGTGTTAACCACGTCTTATGTTCAAGATTTCAAGATCTGCATGTGCAGCCAATCCATCTTTAGACTTTTCTATATCTAGCAATGTTCCCACCACATTGTCACATATATTCTTCTTGATATGCATAACATCGAGATTGTTTCTAATCAACAGATGCCTCCAATGAGAAAGAGAAAACACAGTGAGGATATGTAAAGGCCACCAATCGTCGCCTACAACCAACACTATATTCAAAATATTTAAAAAAATTAAAACCTATGTCGGCTATGGGTTTGGGGGTTTCGTATACGGCAACGAGAAGGGAGGGAGCGGGGTAGATGGGTAGATGGGTGCAAAGGTTAGGTAGAGGATGGGTGGGTGCAGAGGAGGGAAGGGAGGGAGCGGGGTAGATGGGTGGGTGTGCGGGGAAGAGAAGGGAGGGAGAAGGAGGGAGGGGGTCGGGAAGGGTAGGGCAGGATGCCCAGAAAAGTTAATTTAAAAAAAAAAAATTTAACTTTTTTTAATTTTAAATTTTAGTTTTTTAAATTTTTTAATATCTAGGTGGGCCCATATTAACATGTAACGTCCAATCATTGTCCACATGAGTGTCACATCATCAATTAACGATTGACTTAACAGCCAACGTAACGGATGTATGAAATTGTCTCAAAATTAAGACTTGAGGTATGAGTCTGGGATGAAAAAAACTTCATATACCAAATGTTAAAAACCACGAAACTTCAAGGTAGTAAATTGAGATTAACCCTATTATAATTTTTAGCCTCTTGATTGTTTTTTTTTTTTTTTTTTTTTTAATTCATTATAAAAATCTACCGATAGCATGCTGAATGAAGCGGGGATTTTCTGACCTTTGGCATGAAATCATTCCGATTGGCTTATGTTATGTTGATAGCTGAAGCTGAAATGAACAAAAGACATCAGTATATCATCACTGTGTTGGTTAATTACCATCTACATTATAAGATCATCTCCACAAGAAGGTGGACAAATTAAATATGCTAATGAGAAGCAAAAGAATGTGAACAAGCCAAAACTTAAAATCTTAACCAGAAAGCAAAACCAAAACCTGCTATTCAGAATTTAGATCATAAAACGCATTTGCAACAAATAAAATGATCACGGCAATCAAAAAGTGAACAGAGTCGAAAGCAGCAAAACTAAAGAAAATTGTACAAGGTTCGTTATCTCTGCAGAACTCAGTAACCCGTTAGAGCGAACAACGCCACGAAAGCAAATCCATTTTGGAGGGCAGCTGATCGGCTCCAGCAATTCCCGAACAAAACCTGGGTAAGCACCAAGGAAAGAACCCAAATGAATCGCACCATGATCGCATCTCTTGCAAAACTTCGTAACGGCAAAGAAAATATTGAGCATGCGAGCATATGACGACCATCATGTCCCTCGCACCAGGAGAAATGACAAACAAAAGAAGGAAAAAAAAAGATCAAAAGTGGACTGAAAATTGTGCAAAGCAAGACAAAACAAATTCATAGCTGTTCACACAATAAAATCCATATGTATCAGATTATTCATTGTAAAAAAATAAAATGACTCGTAAATAAAAATCGTATAGTAAGTTGAATATTGAAGATCAGCAGGATAGATGGGACATGTGGAAAGACAAATATGTTCTATTAAATAGAAAAATTCAAAAAGAACACTCATTAGGTGACTGAGAAATAATAAACCAAGAACTGAGAGGCAGATTAAGTTCAGCAAACGCAGATAAAATTATGCAAAAAGTAGGTAGGAATCACGTTCTCTCTTATATAATTGATATCTGCGTGGCTGAGCGCCTCCTGGAAGTGATAATGC